GGCCAGTAGCCAGGCCGGTATGAAAGGGGTTTTTGCAACAGGGCGAGCTTACCGGGGGGGCCCCTTTTCAAAGCGGGTCAAAATGGTCGCCGGCCCTTATTTTCACCTGCATTACCCTGGCGCCCATGCCTGGGGTGTTCAGAATTACCACCACAGTCAACCATTACGGGAAGAGCAGAACCAGAGACCTGAAAAATTACGTGGCAAAGAGCAGATCTTAAACCCTCACATCTTTGGAGTTTCTGTCTCTGTAGCCTGGTGGATGCCCATGTGGCCCATTTTTCACTGCCGAGACAAAGAGGATGATTGAAACAAAAATTGCCAGCAAGGAGTGCTGCGTTCAGGTCTGTTGGCTTATACCCTGTGTATAACCCCCCGAAATTTTGAAGGAGCCTCGAGCTGGACCAAGAGAGGGCGCAATTTTCTTAGCAGTGAAGGTTCCTTTGGTTGCAGCCGCACTCTCTCTGGTTCACGAATGACTGCGAAATGCATGTGTTAACAGTCACATCACTACCAACAAAACTCCCGACCAATATGGCTCTTTCAGCTGATGAGGGGGTTGTTTCTGCTTTGAGGCGGATTACCTAGCCCATTTGAAAGACGCTTGTTTTAATTACTGAGGGAACTACATTTAGACTTGCGGGGTCTGGATCAGTGAAATTGTAATAGATTTAAGCATTGCCTGTTGAGTTCATTCTTTGCTTTGGAAAACTCAGGGAATATTTTAATGATTTTTGTATTGTACTTTTGAAGAATGACGGCTCTTGAAACCTGCCTTGCAGAGTTTGTTACCGGTCAACCTGCATTATTTGTCAAATGTTTGCTTGGAACGGCAGGCGGTGGTTTAGGTGGGACGCGACGCGGTGGCCCCGAGCAGAACGTCCGTCACTCTGGTCGGGAGGAACCATCTCAGGCAGCGTCAGCTAGGTAAGGACCCAAGCAGACGGTTTGGTACCTCTCCGAGCACATTAGCTCATTTTTTGTGCTTTCTGAGGACCCAGGCCTGTCGGACTTCTCCTGCTGGAGTCCGTAGAATGTCTCCAGTAACCTCTGTGTGGGTTGTTGATCCATGTTGCCCATTGCCCTTGTGCATAATGCATGTGTGAGAGTTTCAAGCTACACAAAGTATGTACAAACCAATGTTGTCTGTTTTCCCTGCTGTGGTACCTATTTTTTTGGGGGGGTCTTTTTTACAATCCTGTAGATGCATGTTCGAGGAAATTTGTTGGTATTGAAATTTATCCTGACCCCAGTTTCAAGTGGCTGCCATGCATGATTTAGTGGGTTTTTTTTTTTAATGTTTTTGCAAATTAGTTCTTCTCAAAGCAAATTTTTGCGATGAGCTCTCTGTCTCTTGATGCTATCTGCTGTATCATATCTGCACAGTGACATGTACCGTATCTTGAAGGGCAGCTGCTATCAATTTGGTTTAATACAGACCTTCAAAATGCACCACTGTGTCTCAGTAAACCATATTTTTAACTGACGTTTTACTATTTCAAAGGGTGTATTACTGTGGTTTTTTTTATGCCAATGAGTATTTCCATAATCATGATCAAACCTGTGATGTCATCCCAGGAAGAAAGCCTCAATGTTACATTGGTTTGTGCACAAAAATGTCCTGCATTTTTAGTGATTTTCCTGTTTTCTGTGACTCTGTTTTCTCTTCTTTGCTGACTCGTTTGTGTGCCTAGGAATAAGAAAGCATCCATCTCTTTCTCAGATATGTTTTCAGTAAGAAAATCTGTGTGCACAATTTGAACAGAAACACCTGTGCACTGAGCCATGTCTTTCTAAGATGATTTCACAGCAACGCCGCCCTCAGTTGCCTGAGAAAGCATGAATAATTTTTAGTGTAAAAAAGTGCATTTTACAATGCATTTAACCAAATAGGAATGTATGAGGATTTACTCATTGAAGAAGAAAACAAAAGTTGAAGAAACTTCAACATCTACTACCGGCTGCAGACATTTTCTCGTAGATGGTATAGGCTGCAGCTATGTACCGGTAATTTAGATGTGTGTCGGTTGTTAGTATTGTTGACCTTTGTACTTTGCTTTACAGAGATGAGGAAGATCGGGAAAGAGACCGACGTGAGAGGCGACGCAGCAGGAGTCGCGACAGAGATAGAGATCGTCGTCGTGACCGAGACCGGGAGAGAGAAAGGGAACGTAGGGAGCGCGATCGTGATAGGGACCGGGAGAAGGATCGCGACCGGGACCGCGACAGAGATCGTGACCGGGACCGAGAACGTGAGCGGCGTCGCAGGGAGCGCGAGCGAGAGCGGGAAGGCGAGCGTGATGTGGAGAAGGTGGACGGGGAGAACGCTGAAGTGGATGACAAGGAACTCGACCGCGATCTGCAGGAGGCGCTTGAGAAGGACCGTGATCGCGACCGGGGACGAGACCGGGACCGCGACCGGGACCGTGACCGTGACAGGCGGAGACGGGACCGTGATCGTGACCGGGAACGCGACCGAGGGCGGGATCGGGATCGTGACCGAGACCGGGATCGCGACCGGGATCGTGACCGCGGGCGCGACCGCAAGCGAGAGCGCGACCGCGGCGACTACGGGGATGGTGAGGAGCCGGACGTGAAGGTCAAGATTGAGAACGCGGGCGAAGACATGGGCCTTGTGTCGTACCCAGCTGATGAAGACGAGGAGACAGCAGGAGGAGACACCTTCGGCATCCGAATCAAGAAGGAGAAACTAGACGCGGGCTACGGAGACGTTGAACCCCAGAATGGAATGGGACAGCCTCAGGAACAATCCTGAAGTATGTCTCCAATCTTTCTTCTAATGACAACTTTGAATTGTCCTTTCGCCCGTGATTTCATTCTGCCCGTAAGTTCTGCTCAACAGTTTTTAACAAGCTTTATAGGTCACTTTCAGCTGCTATTTTTATGGACACTTTGATCTTCATCAAATTTTGTTTTTAATTTCGAGCAATCACTAGATTGTTAGTATTCTCTTGAATTCAGTCTTGAGTGAGTGTGGGTATGGCTGCGACGTCAGATTTGCTAGGTGGATCTTTGAAAGGACAGTACCTTCAATATTGTACTAAAAATTGTAGCTTATTTCAAGCTGCATACAACAAAACTTTAAATGTAGGATATGACGAGAATCATAATACTGGGTAACAGAGTTGAGTATCTATCACCTATGCACATTTTGAAGTCTGGTGCGATATGGAAGTACAGTACATGTAGACTGCCTGTTTGGAAGTCGGTGTGTGTAACTGTAAGACTTTACGCTCAATGATGTGGTTAGCAAGTGCTGAGAGGTGTGTGTATACATGTGAGCCAGCATGATGTACTGTTCATGCTTTGGTTTATACAAGACCGTGGAGGCGCTTCAAGGCCATCCGCGGCCTTGTGCAAACCAGAGTGTGACCTTTACACCCCGTAGGCTTGTGTGAGTACAGAGCCAGTAACCGGCACCGATGGATCCAGGCAGAAACATGCTCAGCATGCTGGATTACCTACCTACCCACCCCACCTCTGGCGCTCATTTTTGCAAGCGAGAGTGCGTTTGATGTGACACTTACCTGACATTTTGTGCTAATACTTGGGCCTGGCCCAAGTGACTGACCAGATGAGCTGGTTACTTAGGGGGAAGTATCCCATAAAGCAGTGCAAAAACATTGTTGCTTGGAGTGTTGCAAAGGAAAGTTGTACATAATTGAGAAAAATGGATAAAAACAGTTGCAAATTGGCTCAAGCAAACTTAGTTCTGTGAAAAAAAAGGCAAGAAATGCGCATTTGGATGGCAGTTACTCATCATTACTGACCATTTGAATTTCTGTTTGCAACTTTCATCAATATACATGTGTGATCTGTCCTGTCAATGTTCCATTGATTACCATATACTATGCATGCACCTTCAAGCCTTCATTGGTGACACCATGGATAAGCGCGTGGGAAGTTACTGAACGTGCTGGTAATAACTTGCACATCCAGAAGGCCCCCATTTATGGCGGGAGGACTGTGCCGTTGTTCAGGGGCACTGTCAAGAGCTGATTGTATTGCACAGTAGCGGGCACAGTGCAGCCGCCATGAC